ACAAGATGTATGACGACATACGAAGCTTCCAAAGCAAGTTTGTAAAATATACTGATGAACGTTTATCAATTATTGAACAGCTTGTATCGAAATAAGTGTTAAAAGTTAAGATCTATGAATCTGTTGGTAAAATATATTTAATGAGCGCTTTATCAATTATTCAAATAATTATATAGGCGGGCTTGGTAGAAGTAAGCGTTAAAGTCAAGATCTATTTTGCAAATCAAGTTTCCAAAACGAACTTTTATTATTATAGGCGAGTTTGATCGAAGTAAGTGTTAAAGTCGAGATCTACGAAGCTGTTTGTAAGATATATTTAACGAACGTTTTATTATTATCAATTATTCAATAATTATATAGGCGGGTTTGATAGAAGTAAGTGTTAGTCAAGATCTATGAAGTTTCAAAACGAATGTTTATCAATTATTCAATAATTATATAAGGGTTTTGATCGAAGCAAGTGTCAGTCAAGATCTATGAAGTTTCAAACGAATGTTTATCAATTATTCAATAATTATATAGGCGGTTTGATCGAAGTAAGTGTTAAAGTCGAAATCTACGAAGCTGTTTGTAAGATATATTTAACGAACGTTTTATTATTATCAATTATTCAATAATTATATAGGCGAGTTTGATAGAAGTAAGTGTCAGTCAAGATCTATGAAGTTTTAAAACGAATGTTTATCAATTATTCAATAATTATATAAGCGGTTTTGATCGAAGCAAGTGTCAGCCAAGATCTATGAAGTTTCAAAACGAATGTTTATCAATTATTCAATAATTATATAGGCGGTTTGATCGAAGTAAGTGTTAAAGTCGAGATCTACGGGGCTGTTCGTAAAATATATTTATCAACGTTTTATTATTATTAATTACTCAAATAATTGTATAGACGGGCTTGATCGAAGCAAGTGTTAATCAAGATCTATGAAGTTTGCAAAACGAATGTTTATCAATTATTCAATAATTATATAAGCGGGTTTGATCGAAGCAAGTGTTAGTCAAGATCTATGAAGTTTGTAAACGAATGTCAATATAAAGTCAGAAGTATAAATAAAATACCTTTTAGTTTTTGCTGAATCCCATCTATATAAAATTCTTCAAGACTATTAAATTTCTATAAAATAGTTTTTCGTGAACCTCTCTAAAGTTTATTAACCAATACCCCATAAAGTAATGACCATATTAAAGTTTAAAGTACTCTACACTTTCTCATTTACTATCAAGTCTTTTAAAGCGATATTAAGAAATAATCTGAGCTTTGAAGTGAAAAAGTAATACCGTTTTTGAATAGTCGTGAATTCATGTAGAGAAGATCTTTCGATATGAAATAGTATTCATTAGAAAGCTTTAATGGAGTACTTTCATTTTACTCTAACAACCTTCATGTGAATTTATTTCCTCAGGATGTGTCACACGACTAACATGAAAAGATTTGAAAAAATAGCAATCTTATTGTTAGTCCAGAATACATGACCTATAATGATATCGTTTGAATGAATTCTCATGGAAATGTTTTGAATAAACCTCTCATGCTTTTTGCAACATCTTCATATCTTAGGTTATTTATTATATCTACAAATTTTTCATCCTCTGATAAAATTATTAATGTATTGTCATAGTCATAAGGTTCTTTGATCGTAATATTTGACATTGTCCATAATAAAGAAACATTTTAATAATTGAAAACAGAACAAAAATGAAAAGTTAATAAAGTTGTAAACCATGTGCGGACAAACCTCGAATATTAAATACACTATTGATTTCTCTAGTTCATTCTATAAGGTCAAGCTCTATATCCTTTTTATCAGATTCTAACACTCTTATTTCATTGAAAAACTGATCAATTTTCTTTAATTATTTCACCAATTGTTTTATCTCTCTCGTCAAGTTTTTTTGATAGGTAAGATGACGGTGATAACATCTGTTATAAACGGTAATTAATGATATATGATGAAACTTTTGACTTTAGTCATTGACGTAACTAAAGTATTTACTAAAGGTAGTTTCTCACCAGGGCCATTTTGATGATTTGACTAAAGTAAAAGCTCTTGAAGTAAGTAAAACTACTTGACATAATTGAAAACACTTGACGTAAGTAAAGACAGTTGATACAAGCATAAATAATGATAATGATAAAATAGGTTCCAAGTTATGCAATAAAGATGTATATTGCAATAATGCAAAAAGTATAATTATCATGTGATAAATTTTACTTAATTAATCTGTTTTTTTTTCCTTCAAAATAAAAATGCCTCGTTTTTTACAAATTAAAACTATTCTATTATTACATACATATGAGTTGTGTTAAATTGATGTTTTTTCAAATTTTCGACTTTTAAAGTTAACTACATATAATAATAATAGTAATACACAATAATATTAATAATGTGCTTGAGCTGTCTTTAGTGTGAGTTTGAAGTAATATAGGTTGATCAATATTGGTACTTAGAACGACCTTTACATAGCACATAAGACAGGTTTTGGTACAGATTTTTGTATGAAAAGATTTTAAAAGTGGTAAAAATATATAGAAACAAATAATGATGAAATTCTTTTGATAAATCGATCACTAGAGTTTGGTGATGATGAAGTAGTTATTTAAATAACATAATTTTCATTTTTCAATTACATCCTTTATCAATTAATCGACAATTAAATAAACTATAAAAAATGTATATGAAAAAATTATTTGCTATACGTCATTTAGTTCTCCACAAAGAAAAACAAGTAAATGAAAACGTAACAGTGAGTTTTGTGAAATACAGATTGATATTATAGTGAGATGATATTTTTGGTGTCATAGTATTATAAAGTCACATGTCTCGATCACTTATATAGGATATTCCTTACATTTAATATTAATATTAATAATAATAATAATAAATACATATTAATATAAACGAACAATTTTGTCATTTGTTTATTATTATTATTATTTTTGGAAATAAATGTGATTTGCTAATATATTACTATATATATATACATCATTGATTCCAATTTAATTTGCTCATTATTATATTTATCAAATCCATTGGTCACAATGGTCCCTAGTACTAGAATTTGGATTAATATTAATATACCCGTTTATCCTTTTTTGAATTTATTTTGTATCATGAAACAATTATTGATCTTGTTAGCAAATGGATTTGTGACATTAAAACAATTGTTAATGATTCTTTACCTCAAACAAAAAGACAAATTATATATACATATATAATAATAACAATTGAATAAATTGGGAATCAATGGATTCTATATTATAATTGTATATCAATATATATAATAATAACAATTTTGATGCCCCAAACGAATATGTTGTATATTAATGTAAGTGATTGAGTCATGTGTTTTTGTTATTATTATGCTATGCGCAGTGAGTGGTTTGAATGTGCTCATATAGCGTACACGTTTGTAAACTTGATTTTATCATGATTGCTTGAAGATGGACAGGAACGTCGTGGCTGAATGTAGAAGATTGAGCTTCATGTGCCGAAATGGCCCGAGAGGAATGTCTCTATGTTAGTGTTACGAAAAAAAAAGTGAGGACGGCTGTCCTATTTATACGTTTCAAATTTAATAAAACATTGCTATTGTCTTGCCCGAGTGATGTTGTTTTTTTGCTTCTTGGGACGGAGAAAGCGCAATCCAAACCCAAGTTAACTTTAATGTCGATGTGATGTTAAAATAAATGAATTTTTGTGATCATGCGACATGGCATGTGTGATTGTGTAATAAGTAAAAAGCAAAAGCTAACATTGCGTTCTCAGTTGAAGCTTGTTCTTTATATATACTCCTGGACAAAAGTATCCAGACACCTATTTTTACTAATTATACAAAAACGCACATAATAACTACATATAAAATTTTATCAAAATGTAGCTTAGGTACACTACCCGGAAAAAAGTATTTGGGCACCTATTTACATTAATTACCCAAAAACACACACAATACCCACACATAAAATTTATGTCTTTTTATAGCTTAGATTTTGAAAAATATTCATGTAAAATTTTATTTTTTCAGCTTATGTGAAACTTTAATAAATAAAAAAATACGAACTTCAACCAAAATTAAATTGAAAAGTTGAGGAACAAAAAAAAATTAATATTCAGTTGACCATCCTTCATTAGAAATGCATGCTTCAATTCTTTTTGGCATACTTTCAATGAGTGTATGTAATTTTTCGTAAGGAATTTGCTGCCATTCTTCTTTCAGTGGAATTTCCAGTTCACTTGCATTTTTTTGGATGATTTTTTCGATTTTTTAATCTCCTTTCCAGCTCACTCCAGAGATGTTCAATCGGGTTAATATCAGGTGATTGAGACGGCCATTCTTTTAATATTTTTACTTTGTTTGTTTGAATCCAAATTTTGAACATCATTGGCTGTGTGAACTGATGCATTATCATCTTGAAAAAAATAACCTCTCCCATCAAAATCCCCCTCTATTAATGGTAACAAGTTCTTTTCTAAAATCTGAATATAATCGAAACGAACTACTAAACATAATAGAAAAGTGATATTTGCATAGATACTCCGAATTTAAGGGTTTAATATAATATAAATTTTTACGCATATTAATCATGAGCACTTTGATAAACAATTTTTTGTTCAAAAAATTTTCAATTGAAATTCGTATTTTATAAGCTAAAAAAATAAAAATTTACACGAATATTCTTCAAAATCTAAGCTATAAAATGATATAAACTTTATGTATATTTATTATGTATGTTTTTGGGTAATTAACGTAAATAGGTGTCCAAATACTTTTTTCAGGGTTTTTAGAACATGAAACATTTTAATTAAAAAAAAAATCCGAAACTCGACGAAAATGATGATGATCAACAAAATATTTATTTTAAACAAAGAAAATAAAAATTTAATAATAATATTAATATCGAGTTAGCCATCTATCGCTAGAAATGCATGCCTCGTTCCTTCTAGGGATGCTTTCTATTAATTTGTAACAAGTTTCATACGAAGTTCTTGACTACACTTCCCATTTTTGGGTATTGTGTTCGCTTATCTAATCGCCTCCCCAGTTCACTCCAAAGATGTTCAATTGGATTAAGATATGGGGATTGTGAGGACCAATTAGGTACCTTCATGAAGGCCCAAAATTTTGATTTTTATAAATGCGATTTTATTACTAATTTTTTTAATTTTATTATACATTATTTATGCTACAAAATTTTGCATTCATATTCTAGATAATCTAAGTTACAAATCGACATAAATTTTTATTTTTATTATCATGTAGGATTTTGAGTAAATTCGAGAAACAAAAAATGATATCGCGATTTCGTCGAGTTTCGGATTTTTTTTTTAATTTAGATGTTCTAAAAACATACATACAGTATTTATCAAAAACTAAGCTGCATTTTGATAAAATTTTATGTGCAGTTATTATGTGCGTTTTTGTGTAATTAGTAAAAATAGGTGTCCGGATACTTTTGTCCAGGGAATGATATTGAATCAAATATTATGGTTTCAAAATAAATGTTAAACGTTTGAAGCTATCCATTCATCCCTTAGAACAATTTATTACATAAATAACCAACTATAAATAAATCAATACTTTTTTTGCAAAATCACAAAACAAATTCACTTTAGAAAAAATTATTTCATTTGTCATTAATATTAATTGCACACTTCAAATTTTCAACAATGAAACTAACTCTTTTAATTGTGCTCTTTGCAACACTCTTCTCCAGTGTCTTTGTCGGTGCAATGAGCATCAACGGTGGAAATAGACTCTTCAAAAGAACACCGGGTATGTGTCTTAATCTATTCCAAAAACATGCACAAATGATTTTTTTGCAAATTCACAGAAAACCCTCTTTTAAATTTTTATGTAAATTTATATCTTGATATTTATTAACTATGTGTGCACATTTATCAGGTGCTGTTTGTATTGGTAATTCTGATTGTTCTGATGGAGAAGTATGTGACCTTAGTATACAACGCTGCAGTACTAACCTAGGAGGAGCTTGCAATGGTGCCACTGCTGATGGAGATTGTATAACTAAAATTTGTCGTACTGATGGTTCTGATACATTAAAATGCCAAGCCACTGATGAACGTCCTGCTGGAGCTACTTGTATTGTAGCTAATGCATGCAAAAGTAGGAAATGCAACTCTGTTAATCACTGTGACTAGATACATTATTAATTTTGATCTATTGATTAGTATTTAGATTTATTCCATTATTAGAATTATTTCATTTTACATTTTTGATTATTATTAGTTGAACTAGAGTGACGACAATTTGTAATGCATTCGCTGCCATTCTTTTTAAATAAATAACACTTTCTTTTTAAGAACATAATTTTTTAAAAAAAATCTGGTTTCATCTGTGTTCTTTTTTCTCTATATTGTTTAAAAATTTCTTTTTCATTAATGTTTTTCCTTAAAAGGATTGAAAGATTGTGATATTGATTTTATTTTAATAATAATGTACAGTCGACCCCCCTTATAGTCACGCCCCTCGGGAATGACTAATGCTGTGACTGTAAACGAATGTGCTTATAGAGGGTATAAATATATAGTCACATGTCTTATTAAATACCATCACAGTGTGCTTATATACTATTTTCAAATAATTTATTTAATAAAATTTTTTAATATATAGATAAGTATTCAAATTTTTATTTCAAAATATGCATAAATGCTTTTTTGGATCTTTGGCTCCATAAGTTTAACAATACCTAAATATTTTCTAAAAATGCGCAAATCATCAATTTTAAATTTTTCGTTGTTTTTCTGTTGCTCAAAAAAATTAATAAATGTTTCTAAACCATTAATTGCATTTTTTACTGGTATCAAAGGTAATTCTTCATCTGATGATGAATCATTACCATTTTCACCCATTTCTTCAAATTGGACAAGACTTATAATTTCTTCATCATTAAAGTATTCTTCGGTTATGGCAGGTGTCTTTAGAATGATAGTTTCGGTTATATGAAATACAATGATATAAAATAACATATGAGCATCATCATTATATGTATATTACAGAGTATTTTACAAATGAAAATGAAGATATTTTATTTGGACCAATTTTACCTCATGGTAAAATAGCAAAAGTTACAGGCAATCAATTATACATTAAGGAAATAATTAACAATGAAAAATTAGATGATATTCAACAAAAAATACCTTTAAAAAACAATTATTTTTTACACATAATACAAACTATACAAAAAATGTTTGAAATGCCTAAGTTGCCTGAAGGACCAGCAGAATTTACCATAGTAACTGTAAAATCAATTAAATGGTCAATAGAATATGATGATGAATTTAAAAATATTAATATAAAAGCACAAAAAAAAATTAATGATGAAATGGAAGAAAAATCAATGATTGATGAATATGGTCTTAAAAGTGATGAAAGATTTAAGTATTGTAAATTATTAAATAATGATGATATAATTTTACTAACAAGTGCTTGGATATATATTTTATCAGTTAGCAATGAAAATTCCAAAATATTTATAAAATTTGTTAAATCTAATTATTACACAGAGAGTAAGATTGAATCAGCTATTGAGAATAACAATATTAAGGATTATTTATTTGATTTTGAATATATCATTGATCATATTGATGATTCATATATTGATAAACATCAAATTTCTAGACGACCTCTTAAAGAAATGTTAAATAGTATGCTCAATGAGTTTTATTATTTCAACAAATTTGGAAAGGAAATATTAAAGATAGCATTAGATAAAAATAATAGTATTATAGTAGAAAAATTAATTGATGCTTGTCTTGGTCATTTTATAAAAGATGCTGATTTAAATATTAGTTTATTAAAAATAATTATATTAGAATTGCCAAGATTAGAAAAAAATCATCATACTTTAATATCAAAATTTTTTAGTCAGACTTCAATGGTATTATTTCCATTTGAGAAATATATTCGGGATAGGGATGCTTTTTATAATGCTGTAGATATTGAAGGATCAGTTTATAAAGAAAAAAGCTTTTGGAACTTTTATTATAAATATAATTATATTAGAAAATTTGTAAAATTTATAAATAAAAAATTAAATAACAAATCCAAAAAACCATGTATAATATTAGCAATTTCATATCCTGGATTGCTTACTTACAACAACAAATATTCATTTTGGAAAGAATTGTTTTATAAGCCAGCAAATAGTAAATTTATTGAATTAGAAACCTTAGAATTATACAAACATTGGAGTGGACAAGTAATCTTGAATTCTAAATGGAATAATTTTGGATTCAAATGTTACTTTGGGATTTGGATCTTTTATACAACATTTTTATTATGCTTTGCAATTGCAACCTCTACTTCACTGGGTCAATTATCTGATGAAAATAGAAGATCATTATTAATTATTATGATCATCCTTGGGTTGTTTCATCTTAATTTTGAAGTGAGACAATTTATTTGGAACCCAATGAAATATGTCAAGGACTTTTGGAATTATTTTGGTATGACATTATTATTATTATTATTAATTTTTATTATAAGCTAATTAATTAAACTTGATTATTATTTATTTAATAGACATTGGGGCATATTTCTTACCAGTCATTACTTCAATTCTATGGCTGTATCATCATAGTTCACCAACTACTGAGTTGGTTTCATTATCCATTTTGTTATTAGATCTGAAATTTATGCTGTTTTTAAGAGCATTTACATACCTTGGAAGATATTTTGCAATCATTTTAGGAGTTGCTAGAAATGTTTTCTCATTTTTAATGATTTTGTTTTTAATTGTTTTAAGCTTTTCACATGCATTTTACATTTTATTAAAACCAATTCAGGAAGATTATACACTAGACAGCCCTGATTTCAAAGATAATGATCCCAACAATCCTTGGAATCTTGCTTCTAAATATTTTATATATTTTACAAATAACAATTCATATAACCAGAATTCAATTATTGTACAACAACACAAACATGTTTGCACATTTTCATTCCTCAATGCTGGCAATGTATAATTTCCTTGCAGGTAAAATGCTATATGATTTAAAAATAGTAAAATAATAATTATACTTAATAATATTAATTTGATTTTTAATAGGTGATAATGGAGCATTTGGATCTTGGCAGTTACAAGATGAACCATATCTTGCAATATTATTTATTGCATTTTCATTTGTTGTTGTGATATATTTAATGAATTTATTCATTGGTCTTCTTAGCAATGTTAATGCGAACGACGATTTATAAGTTTAATGAAACTAAGCTAATAAATTTTTAACGCGCTGTTTAATTTAAATTGCGCAAATAGGAAGTTACATTGTGCGATATAAAAAATTAGCTCATATGACCGAATTAAATATTAAATGGGGTGAAATTTTTGGTCGACTTATCGAGTTAATATATTAATATGTATTATTATTTTATTATTATTAAATTTTATTAGTAATTGTTTTATTGTTCTTCTAAAGGTATTTATGAAAGTTTAAAATTTACAAATAAATGCAGTCTTTTTTAATGCTTAAACAATACAAAAGTTGAGAATGTGACTTGAGTTCAGTTCTATATTACTGTTACGACATATAATACAGGATGTTGATAGAAATATATTAATATACTTTTAAAAAATGATTATATTCATGTATTGTTTAAAAATTTTATATATATAATATTTTCCTTTATTATTAGTCGAGACCAGCGCTTTCCAAAGTCAACGCGGAAATCATGAATGTGCAAGCATTAATCGTATTTATGGATGTTATGATGAGTGTAAATAAGATATAATATTAAATTATGGAAATTCCGTTGAATCATCTTTTAAAAGGTCTTCATGTGAAGTTCGAGCAATTCTTAATTTTTCAAGGGCCTGAAGATTATCATATGATGATGATTCAGATGAAGCGTCTAAATATTTTGAAGTTATTACTTTTTGGTGGTTTTATATTTAGATGCGGCCTATTATTTCCAGTTTGTAGAAATTTGATTTCTTTATTTCGTACAACTGGTTCCAAGAGCTAACACCATGCTTCCAAACCAATGTTAACCCCATCTTTTCACTATCAAAGATAAATTTTTCTAAAGGCAATTGATATACGTGATGAAATTCCATTTCAATAATAACAATAAAATCAGATAGAGAAGTCGTCAGAAATATTTTGAATTTGTGAAGATTGTTGTAGATTTGTGCTGATATTCAGTTTTTTTTTCAATTATATATATATACTAATATTACTACAAATAAATTATGATATCCCTTTTATATATACGTATTCAACAATACAGCTTAGATATTACAATTAATATTTGTTATTATTATATATAATTATTACATCATTGATTCCCAATTTTTATATATATAATAATGGAATAAATTAATAATATATAGTATATAGTAGTAATTTTCAGATGGAAAGTTAAAAATAAACATAGAACGCGTTAATTTACATCATAGGTCCTTCTATTATGCTATCTTTATTTGTCATTATTTATTTATAACAAAAACATTAATTCTTAATAAAGTAATATAATTATTTTAACATGAAATTGAATCAAATGAATCGAAAAATGAAAATGAAAATGAATCGAAAAAATATCTTTTAAATGGTAATATTTTTATCAATCATTGATTCTAATATTTTTTTGACTTCCTTTTTATTGCAAAATTCCTTCATCTATGTTATACTATACTGGTACCAGGAAGATTCAACATCAAAATCTATATCATATAATTATAATGTAAAAAATATTCTTTGAAGTTTTGAAATATTGTCACTATATAGAATTTTTGATAGCTTTCAAGGTTTATATGACTCGTTGTTTTGCGATTTTGTTATAAAAATTAGTCAATTCTTGATTTTTTTAAATATCCAGTTGTTGTTGCATCTATTGTTATTTAATAACTGAATAAATTGACATCCAAAAACATAATCTATCATTAGGAAGTACAAAAGGCGTAACTTTTCATTTCCTTTAAGATGCCTTAATAAACCTTACAAGTGTATAGATGCTGATTCAGAGGAACGTCCTCGTCGGATGAGCTTGGCATAATCAATATATTTGTAACAATTTAAATTGCAATAATACATAGTTTTTCTTCGTAATGATTTAACAAATATTGAAAAGATAGGTGAAGGTGGGTTTGCAAATATATCAAAGCTACTTGTTATATATACAAGTAATGACAATAATAATTACATTTAATATTAATATTAATAATAATAATAATAAATATATATTAATATAAACAAACAATTTTGTCATTTGTTTATTATTATTATTATTTTTGGAAATAAATGTGATTTGCTAATATATTACTATATATATATACATCATTGATTCCAATTTAATTTGCTCATTATTATATTTATCAAATCCATTGGTCACAATGGTCCCTAGTACTAGAATTTGGATTAATATTAATATACCCGTTTATCCTTTTTTGAATTTATTTTGTATCATGAAACAATTATTGATCTTGTTAGCAAATGGATTTGTGACATTAAAACAATTGTTAATGATTCTTTACCTCAAACAAAAAGGCAAATTATATATACATATATAATAATAACAATTGAATAAATTGGGAATCAATGAATTCTATATTATAATTGTATATCAATATATATAATAATAACAATTGAATAAATTGGGAATCAATGAATTCTATATTATAATTGTATATTAATATCAATATATATAATAATAACAATTGAATAAATTGGGAATCAATGAATTCTATATTATAATTGTATATCAATATATATATAATAATAACAATTGAATAAATTGGGAATCAATGAATTATATATTAATATTATAATTGTATATCAATAACAATTGAATAAATTGGGAAATCAATGAATTATATATTAATATTATCAATATATACATATATATGTAATAATAACAATTGAATAAATTGAGAATCAATGAATTCTATATTATAATTGTATATATATATTATTATTATTATTATTTTTTATTAGAAGATAACAAATTGAAAAGTTATTATAATAATAATAACAAAATGTTAATTTCTGAAATATTCCTTCTGATGTTGTTGTTGACTACAAAAACATCAACATTTAAATTCATATGTGTATTCTTAATTCGTGAAGGAAAGAATTTTAATATCAACATTTTATAATAAAAATTCAAAGAATACACTTTGTTTCAAACAATCATTTCTTCACCTCAAGCAGACAAACCATTAGATAAATGCATAGCGGTATTCATTTGGAACCACCAAATCTCAAAGGAGATATTCAATACATATTAATTATTAACAGACAATAAAATAATAGATGATAAGACCATTTCAATTGCATTTATGAATGTTCTTTCTTTCATCTGAAAAGCAGAGTGTGAGTGGAAAAATAAGGAGTTTGATTAATTCCTTGTTTCTTAATAATAATCATTAAACCAGTCAACTTTCTGGTTTTTGTAAAAATGATAATGGTGACATTGCATGAGCCACATGGCCATTTTTTTCTCTTATTGTGAATATAAACAAAACCTTATGCTTTCAGCTTTAATGTTTCATTAGAAAAGAAGAAGGTGATGATTGATTATTATCAAATCCATTTAAATTTAAATTAATATTTAAGCACTGTTTTGGGTCAGTGTCAACAATATTAATATCAAAAGAATGTTTCAGAAAACTCAAAGATTTTTGTGTGATCTAATAGTATGGATTGATGTTGAGTTGCTATTAGTATTATATAGTAATAGTGTTTGTATTAGGGCAACTAATTTTTGATGTTAAAAAATTTTTCTTTAACATTTTGATTTTTGTTATTTTAGTTTTCAAGTTATTGCTATTAAAAGTTTATATATATAGCTTTCAATTATATCAATATCCCTTTTATTATTATTAAAAAAAAATATTTATATATATGTATATACTATATTTAATATTAATATTTTATATATAGTAAATAAGAAAATACATTGCCAAAATATACTTTTATTTTTAATACGTATCATCATCCATTGATTCTAGAGATAATTTTTGAAATCATGCGCATGTAATTTTTTTTGTACATAGTAATAAAAATGTAACACAAAAAAAATAAAAATTTTTTTTTATTATTATCCAAATGACTCAAGAAAATTTTGGTCACAATTACTACATTATAAACAACATACTGGCTTG